AGGGGGTGGAATGGGTCATTGGGGAGAAAAAGGGACATCTATAATATTTTAAACAAAAATAAAAATTTTAAATTTAAAACAAAACAAAACAAAAACAATCGTTATAAGGATGCTCAAGGATCTTAGTAAGACTTTTAAGGAAACTAGTGAGGTCATCAATGCCATAATAAAGAACCAGGCAAAAGTGAAGGCTACACTAATTGAAATGAAGAATTTACAGTGAATCAACAGTAGAGTAGAGGACACTGAGAATCAAATCAGCAATTCAGAATATGAGGAAACAAAAAACACCCAATCAGAAGGGCAAAAAGAAAAAAGAATCCAGAAATATGAAGATAGTATAAGGAGCCTCTGGGACTTCAAGTGGCCCAACATTCACATTATGGGGATACCAGGAGGAGAAGAAAGAGCAAAAAAGGGAAAACCTATTTGAAAAAATAATGACAGAAAACTTCCCCTACCTGGAGAAAGAAACAGACTTACAATTCCAGGAAGCACAGAGAGTCCCAAACAAGAGGAACCCAAACAGGCCCACACCAAGACAAATCAAAATTAAAATGCCAAAAGTTAAAGACAAAGAATCTTAAAAGAAAAGCAGCAAGAGAAAAGCAGTTAGGTATCCAAAGGGAGCACCCATATGACTGTCAGCTAATTTCTCAACAGAAACTTTGCAGGCCAGAAGGGAGTGGCAAGAAATATTCACAGTGATGAAAAACAAGGAATTACAACAAAGACTGCTCTACCCAGCAAAGCTATCATTTAGAACTGAAGGTCAGATAAAGAGCTTCACAGATAAGAAAAAGCTAAAGGAGTTCATCACCACCAGACCAGCACTATAGGAAATGTTGAAGGGTCGTCTTTAAGAAGCTAATGAACAAAAGAATCTGACGAACTAAACAGATCCAGAGACACTGACGCTTGTAACAGACAATCATATTTCAGAGAAAAGAGGGAAGGGGGGTGGAGGGTGGGAAGAGATTAACCAAAGAAATTAAATGCATATATGCATAACCCATGGACACAGACAATAATGGGGTAAAGGCCTGGGGAGGGGGTGGAAGCGAGGTGGAGGGGGTCAATGGGGGGGAAAATGGGACACTGTAATACTTTCAACAATAAAGATAAATTAAAAAAAAAAAGATGAGGGCTCTCAAAATTCAAATCTGACGGAGGCAGATCCAGTTCTCTCAGGTCCAAGAATGCAAATTCTACCCACAGCAAAAGGCTGTCTGCAAACACTTCCATTGTGTACTTTAGGCTGGCATGTGTACAGTGGGTGGCTGAAGCTCCAGACTAAACCCCTGAAGGCTCTGTGATCCTACCTTTAGTAAGTTTTTTCTTTTCTTTTTGTCAGGACTAGGGTGACCAAAAGACTCAAGCCTTTCTTATACAGTCAGAATGGCCAGAGCCCTGGATGTTAAATTCTACCACTTCCTGAAGATCCTTAGCAGAAGGATCAGAAATTGTGTCCAAAATCCTGCCACTTCCTGCCAAATGCAGCTGAATGAATACCCGGAACATCTGCCTTCAACAGCAACTAGCTCAGCATACCATTTACCCAGTGAGTCAGCCCAGGAAGTGTCATTGTGGGTTAAAGACAACTCCCCTGGGTGCTCCAGAGGAAGAAAGGGCTCCTAGAGCATGGGGTGCCACAGCACCCAGGCCTGGGTCTCACCTGAGGCCCTGCTGGAGAGCCAGGCAAGGCTACACAAAGCAATGTCTGCCAGACACCCGCGCACCGTGCCAACCCATCCAAGGCAAGAAGAGAGAAATGGATGGTAGATCTTATGAAACAGAGCTTCCTCCTTTATTCTCCACCCCAAGAGAGAAGGAGGGCCCCAAATGGTATTTGGAGGGAGGAGAAGAAGCTGAGTGATTAAGAGCTATAGCTCTTACCCTGACCTTATTACCAGCAGGTTGTATGACCCTGGGCACATGTTGAACTCTCAGTCTCCACATCCTTATCTGAGGGTGGGGATCACAGTGGTGCCCCCCCCATGGGTGTTGTGAGGCTCACAGGAGATGGTGTACATAAAAGCCCTCAGAACAGTGTCTTACACACAGCGAGTATGTGAATGTTATTTATGATGATCTCCTCAGAGTGAGCGTAACAGGGAGCATCTCCAAACATTAGGTCTTCGGGCTTCCATGGGGCAGAGAGCCCTTCTTCTGGGAGTAATGTCAACCCCACCTGCCCAAAGCAGTCTCCAAACTCCAAAAATAGCTCAAAACCACCTTACAGAATAATTAATTCTGTGCGTGCTGTTGTGTCCTCCGTGGGCCGTGTGTGTGGTATTCACAATCAGCCCAACCCGCCTCCTCCCAAGGTCACCTCCATCTCTGTAGCCCAGCACGATTCCCCCACCCAGCTCTGAAGAACCACGACAGCAACTGTATTACTCACTTGGCATTCAGCACATACTGCCATATTTGTTTCTCTGGATATGCCAAGACCTCAACTAGATTGCAAATTCAAGGGCACAGGCTGTTTTCTTCCTTACAGTTCCCAGATTGCCTGGCATTAGACCTTACCCACAGCAGACACTGACACATTCCTAGAACCACAGAACAGTGCCCTCAGTGAACTGTCCTGGCAAGACAGTCCCCTTCACATGTTTATCTAGTTGAGAGCCCCAGAGTATCCTCTGGGCATCTACTTACCTCATCCAGCTGTCTCTTCGTCTCTTCTTCCATCCTTCGAATGTCGTCCATGGTCAGGTCAACCCACTTATCAAGCCAACAGAACAGCTGCCTGTGGAAGTTTGTAAACAGACGCTTCTCTTGCTATAAAAAGGAGGGAACCCAGTTAGAACCCAGAGGGTGAAGGCCACTGTTGTAACTACCCTCCCCATGATCTCCAAGCAAATACCCACACTTTGATGAGGAGGTGGGGGAGGAGTGATGCCTGGCTGCCTTGTCTGGATCAGCCCTCCAGTCCCATAGGTCAATGACTTTTGCCTTCACATGCCTAATACGTATGGCTTTAAGTAGGAGGGGGCCCCCCCTGGAGAATGTGGGTATCTGCCTCACGGCTAGGCCCTGTACCCCAAATGCTACCAAGACACGCAACTCATGAGCTCAAAGCTAAACCAAGGCCCCAGAATAACTGTGCCAATTTTTCTCCTTGTCTCTGGAGTCTAAAGCCAGGTTAAAACTGGCCGGCAGCTATAAAATATAGCCTAAGAGTGAGGCTCTAACACATCAGAAAAAAGGCTATAAAAACTCCTTACATTTGCCTAGTTCAGTAATTAAGGGCACTGGAGAATTTGGCTCACAGTGCCTCTTGCCTTTTGGCTTCAAGAAAAGAGAAAGAGCCCTAGCCAGTTTATCTCAGTGGTTAGAGCGTCAGTCCTTGTACTGAAGGGTTGCGGATTTGATTCAGGTCAAGGGCATACACTTCAATTGCAGGCTTGACCCCCGGCCCAATCAGGGCACATGTGGGAGACAACCAATTGATGTGTCTCTCTCACATGGATATGTTTCTCTCTCTGTCTCTCCCCCTCCCTTCCACTCTCTCTAAAAGTTCAATAGGAAAAATATCCTCAGGTGAGGATTAACCCAAAAAAAGGGAAGAAAAATGAAAGACAGTTTTATTTGTATTTCAATCATAACAAGCCTCTTCCTGTTTCCTTTTTTTTGCCTCAGTTTCCTTCCCTGTCACATGTGGTGCCTTTGTATGGAAGGGCATTAAACTGTAAGACAGTTAAGTACAAAGAGGAGTAGGGTCTGGGAAATCAAACTGAAATATTTGAATGTCATCCACCCTAGGATATAAGTCACATGGGTTGAACACCCCCCACCAACCCATAAACACTGAAAAGGCCTCACTCTGGTCACTTACCTTATGTATAAAGTTTTCCACTTTGTTCTGCAGGCCCCACCACTTGAACTTGACAGTAACCAGTTTGTATGCACACATGTATGGGCAGTCTTTCTGATTTGCAAGTTCTTGCTGTATTAGAAACACACCCACAGACAGGCAGGTAACTGACAGGGCAGAACTTTGGCTCTCCCTTAGCACAGCCCCAAACACTCCCTTCCTCCATCCATAGGGAGAGCCCCCCCTCTTCCCTCTGCCCCCCAACAACACACACTGTGCCCAGCCCCCTGGTGGTGAGGATGTGAACTGCACCTTCCAATTGGTACCCAAAGGTCCTCGGCCTGTTTTGATAGATTTAAATTTTGCTGGGTCTTCCTCTGCCTTGTAATCCTGAGAAGTGGTAGAATTGGAGTTTGGGGAGGGAGGGAGAGAGAGAAGAAGGGAGGAAGGAGAAAGGGAGAAAGAGAGAGAGAGGAAGACAGAGGGGGAGAGAGGAATCAAATTTTCTATTAAAATACACTTCCTGCCAGTCTTAATGCTGCTGGTTCATAGAAAATATGGAAAATATCATAAGATATAGAACTGTTTACAGTCTCCCCAGAGGAGAATTCTGTGTGTTTTTTTCTGCCAGGGTTTGTTTTCAATTTTACCATATGAAAGTGTCACCAGACTGTCTGGCAGGCATGTACTTTACTGTCTAAAACAGGGATTTTCTACCTGGGGTGAGCATCCAAATTACCGGGACAGCTTTTCAAAATACAGATTTCTGGGCGACTTTACCTAAAATCCAATGTATAAGAATATTTGCAGGTATGGACAGCCCATGGTGGTTTTTTTAACCTCTGGAGGTGATTCTAAAACACACAGCCAGAGCTGAGAATACTGGCTGTCATTCCAGAAATCCAACCTGATCTCTCTGGCTTGTTTCTCTCTCTCTCTTTTTAAACTGGCTATTGAAATAAAATCATTTTAGAAATGTTCAATGCGTAAGACATAGAATGTTCAATTATAGTATTCTCTTGTGTATTACTGTCAGTCTCACTTCACTGATTTATAATGCAGCCAATGCTGTGCGTTCATTAACCACAACAAAAGCTTCATCTTTGGCTGTTCCTCTGCACTGACTGTGGGCTCAGGAAAAGCAAACTCAAAGCAACTACTTAACAAGAATAATGAAGGTTACAAATCACACACATACACACAGTCATAAAGTATTTCCCAAAGCTAAAGGGATTATGTATGTGTGCTTAAAAAAATAAACCTTCCCTATCTCTGCTTCTTCCCATTCACACAGAACAAGCAGAGTTGACAAAATACTCAGAGTCATACTCTTTGCTAGTATTTCTGTTTGAGAAATATTTGGGTGTGTATGTTCAGTTTGAGAAAATCCATCAAGCTGTACACTTATGATATATTCACTTTGCTATATATGTTATACTTCAATTTAAAAGTTTTTTAAAAAATCCACTAACCTTTGAGGGTGGGAATGGGAATATCAGGTAAAGAAGCACAAGATGGTTTTCATATCTTTTTGGAAATGTACCAATTGAAATATCTGAAGCACGCAGAGTGAGTCTAGGAAAGAGGTATCATACCCCTGGGATACAGACAGCAAACACTATTCCAAATTCCTGTGCCCTGATTCCAACAGGCCTGTCAGACAGGAAAAGTACTGAATGACAGAGAACTACCCTTTCCTTTCCTAAACAAATACTTCCTGGGAGCACAGCAGTGAGCAGGGCAGATTGGGTCCCTGTGTTCTCCAGCTATATGGTCAAGCAGTGGAACGTCCTTAGCTAGGCACCTGCTGCCATGTTTGTTACTCTGAGAAGTACCTACTAATTTGCTGAGGGCAGGGGACTTGTCTTTTCAAATATCTGGATCACCCTTCGTGTGGAACACACAGAACAGAATACTCCAAACACAATAGGCAGGCAACAAATGTTTCTTAATTACTGGGTTGGAAAAATAAATTTGAGAACTAGTTTCAGGCTAAGTTTCATTTCAGCAGGGCAAATCACCCGCAGGACTACCAATAGCACTTACCCTGTCCAGTGATAATTTCCAGAGGCCAAACAGGACACAAACATCTGGGCCACTATTTCCCCGGTGGTATTCCCAGGTTAAGGCAAGGGAATTCTTAATACTAATTTAAAAAATAAAACAGGTAATACCCAAGAGAGAATTCCTGTTCAGCCAAGTTGGGTCTGGTTCCCTGGTTTCTCTGAATGACTTAGAAGTCATTTCTGCATCTCAAAGGCCACCCACATCTCTAAACAGTTCCTACCTTGCTAAGTACTTGGCTTCGATCTGCAATGTCTATATGTACGGTTTCCACATGTTTCCATGCCTCAGGCTCCAGTTTATGTACCTGCAGGAACAAGGAGCACCACTGTGTAGTTTTTGTCAGCTACAAGGCACCCTTTACCCAGAATGGACACCTAAAAAGAGCTATTCCCATAGATGGGAGATTTTGATTGGTAAAGAATTACATACAAAATTATTCAAAGGAATGGGAGGATGACTTTTAAGTGGACACATATTTGAGAACTAATGCTCTGATTTTTTAGCCTAAGGATCACTTTAGCAGGCCAAAATTCTCTCAGGGCTACCTATAGTACCTACGCTATTTCCACACATTCCCCTTTGTAAAGACTATGAACACTTGTGGAGATATTGCCAGCTTAGCCATATACTGTTTATTTGGGTGCTTTTAAGAAATTAATTCCAACAGGTTATACATATACATGATATGAAATTATGATACAAATTCAAAATGTACAAAAGGATATGATAAACAGTAACCCTTTGTCTTGCTTGTCTCTGTTTTCCCTCCCAAGTTAACACCACTGCTAGCAGGTTCTATGTACTTACAAACATCCATGTGTAAAGATTTTCTTTTAACACAAATGGTAGCACATATGTACACACTGTTTTGCCTCTTGCTTTTTTAAACACTGAACAATATATCCTGAAGATTTATTCCTGTTGGTTCTTTTATTTTTTTCCTATTGGTTCTTTTTAATGGCTGCAAAATATACCACTTATATGGCTGCACCAGAATTTATTTAAGTGTCCTACTGGTGTGCTCTTGTATTGTTTATATCTTTGGCTACACAAAGAATGCTACAATGAATCTTCTTGTATATAAGCTATTTCACACATGTGTAAACGTAACCCTATGGTAGAATCCTAAGTGTGGAAATGCTGGGGTAAAGGATAGGTGTATTTTAAATTTTAGGAGTTATTGACAAATTGTGCTCTACCACGGCTGTAATCCCGATGTTTTAAAAATATAGCTCCTCTGTATCAGAAATTGAATCCCAGTACTATGAAAAGGCCCTATAAGTAGTCTTATGGATCATATTTTGCAAATTAGAGACAGAGCCAGTAGGACAGGTCTAGGCAGAGGCTGTTACCTTCCTGGCTAGGACAAGGAAAGCACAGAGAGAACCCCACGGCAGGATGGAGAAGCTACAGGGCAAAGCCTCAATACCCTGCCCTGAGGCCTGGAAGCCCTTGGAGCTCTTGGGAAGTGCTACTTACATTCTCCTGGGTGCCAAGGTCTGGTTTGTGCCAGGTTTCAATTTTAATCAGAAAGTCTTCTTTCATGTACTCATTCTGGAAGGGGGGGAAAAAATACCTTATGGTCATCAGGCTCAAAGTTGGAGAGTAAAGATTACTGGATCATGGGCGGTGGAGAGATTCCAACCTCTGCTTTCTAACAGCTAACTTTACTGGGAGCCCATAATATGCTAGGCATACATTATCTCACTTAATCCTCACCCCAGCCTACAAGGTCTGTAGTAATATCACCCTCATTCTATAGATGAAGAAAGTGAAGTTCAAAGGAGTGAGAGGTGACTTGTCTGAGGCCACAGAGATAATGATAGAGCTGGGCCTCAAAATCAGGTTTGTCTGACGTCAAAATCCATGGATTTAACCTCTCTGAAATAGTGTGGGAAGAGCACAGGAGGAGCTCCTAACCCACCCAAATTGTTCATCACTGCCCCCCCCC